ACTGTCCTATATATAGTACGCTAGTATTTGTAACAAGTTATACGTAATTTATTTATATTATTTTGCTACAATATTTATTTAGTACAAAAGTTAAGGTTATCAACTAGATATTAAAACAGAAAAAAACAACTCACGAGTAAAATATAACTTTTTATACATACCTGTCATTTGCCATGTCTGCAACGCACTTTTATTACACACTTATAAGGTAAAATATAAGGTAAAAACTGTTAAAACAACTGTCTTTTTATTTTTTCTAATAAAGCTGACACGTTTCTTACTGCAAATCATAAGACTATGTAATCTTAGATAAATAGGGTATTCTGATATATTTTTTTATTTCTACTGTCCTAAATATAGGACAGTAGGCTTATCTGGGTTAATATAAAGGGTGGAGCAATAGATCGTGCATATTTAAAAAAATGATTTAAAAATAAATACAAAAGGTACAGTTAAAATAAAACTGAGGCATTGTTAAGTAATAACTGAAGTTTATTTTTTAAAAATAACATCATCTAAATGGTGACCCTCTCGACGACGGCACTCCTCTAACCGCAAACGGAAATTATTGAATACTTTCTTCAGTAGTGCTGGTGTTATTGCTGCCATTTCACTACGGTTATTATCCTTGAGCTCAACGATGTTTCTTGGATTGTTGCTGTAGACTTTGTTTTTAAGGTATCCCCACAAAAAAATCAGGAGGCGTCAAGTCTGGACCACGTGGGGGCCATGGGATATCACCTCTTTTCGAAATCAATCTGCCAGGGAATATCTGTTTCATAACCGCCATGGAATCATTCGATGTGTGACTGGTAGCTCCGTCTTGTTGAAACCAAGTCCTAGAGTTCACCATTCTTGAATTTTCAAGTTCTGGAGCCAAAGAACCTTCCAATATCGCCACATAGCGTTCGGTAATAACAGTGACGTTTTGGCCCCGCGCGTTTTCAAAGAAAAAAGGACCAATTATTCCTCTGCCAGAGATTGCTGCCCACACTGTCACTTTAAGGCTATGCAATGGCTTCTGGTGTTTGTGTTTGGGATTCACACTGCTCCAGTACCGACAATTTTGACAGTTTACAAACCCTTTGATATGGAAATGGGCCTCGTCAGAGAAAATAATATTATCAAAATTGGAAAATCGATTAAAAATTTCATTGGCAAATGCGAGCCTTGCTGTGAAGTCAGACTCTTTCAATTCTTGTGTTAATTGCAGTTTATCAAACACTGGGCTTGAGAGGCCTTTAGGTTGAAGCTATTATCTTCCAATTCAGAAATATATAGTTGGGACTTATGTAATTTAATTTTTTAACTCATTGGTGAGCATGAGGGCTGGCCCATACTCATCTCTGCAATTATCAAACCCACTGATTATTTGTTGCAGATTATTTCTTTGTTCTTCCATATCTAAGTATTTCAAATGTAATTGAGAAAGCTCAGTTTTTAGATTATTGTTTCTATTAAGAATTTGCAAGAATTCTTATTCGTTATCATCACTTTCTTTTAATAATAAATCACACTGTGTCCTGGATGCCTTTAGTTAACGTGCTTTGATACTTATCATGATATACTTATGAGTCATCATATTTAATTAAAAAAAATAGAAGTTGTATGAACAAAAAATATAAAATTAAGCAGTGTGATCAATCAGTTAATAATATTTAGTATGTAATGATATTTAAAAGGGTTTCTGAAGTGAGTTAAAGGGATAATAAGAAGTCGAACAAGAAAACCTTTCAAAATTGAGTTCGTTGCCTGCGTAATGTCAGCTGACGAACACAATACAAAAGAAACACTATGCACAAACGCACGACACTCAGTTTATTGTTATATTTTATATAAAACTGATTAATACATTGATAAGAATGTAAGATCAGAACTAATTACAATTAATTTGAAATATAAAATAATTTAAATTTATTGAGAGAAGTTTTTTATGACATTTAGTAAGTGTTGCCACAGTCAGAATTCATCAATTTCAAATTCAATTCAATTCTTCAAACCGCTTTACCCATATTTTAATTAAATTAACACTCTGGGCTTCACTAATTCGCTGTAGTCTTCTACTCGTCGTAATTACTCATAGTAACAAAAACTCCATGAGCCCGCCTACTCAACGATGCGTGTTTCCCTCCCGCCTTCGCGTTTTCTACCCCGCAAAAAAATGACGCAATATGCACGTTCTTTTGCGCCACCCTATATATAGGAGATGTAACAACAACGATCATCATCGATGCCTTCCGACGAGAGTTCGGCCGGCTCTAACTGAATATTGTCGTATAATTTGATGAGGTCAGTTTTTTTCATGTGTGTCGTTTAACGTTTACGATTACTGTTGACAGATTGTTTTTGATCATCTGTCTTTGGAATAGGTAAATTTTTCGAGAGTGAACATTTTTCAATTTTACGTCGACGTCCGATGGACCTGGTATCGATAATTCCATTTCATTTTCTTTTTAACAACTCGCCAAACTTGGAGGCGTTAATACATATATTATAGTTGAATTTTTAAATACGCCCAATAAAATTTTTAAACATGCTGGCTTATTTTGAAAGCGGACTCCGATGTTACTTCTGTTTAGGGGCTACCTGCCGCTCTGTGGTTTTCATTATTCAGTCTTCAATAAAACCTAGTAGTAGAAGTAGTAGTCCAGCGTGTACTTCTACTGAACTGTGAATACTGAACGGTGTAACGTTCTTTTAAACTGCTACACCCAGCCCATTGGGGTTTTAGATTGTCTGTCATTTTGAGGACGTCGCGGGTGTAACAATGTTCATGTCAAATGGTTATCTATAAGACGACTGAGACTTTTACCTTTTGCGTTAATGAAATTCGGTTTCCATTATGTGTGTTTACAATTTAAGTCGCCCGATAATATTACTGAGTCATAATAAGGAATTCACGTCACTCTCTAAGATGGTCTTCTTAGGTGAAAGATACACTGACTCTGAAACAATAGCCTCATGTATTGTCATGTCTAATAGTCATATTATTGATGCTTTTATATTAAGTAATATTGATCGTTCAAGAGGGACACTGCCGAGAGCTTGCTTGAAATAAAGCAAAGTTCTGCCGTATCTATTTTATTACGTACTACGGTAACGTTTTCAATTTCTGGTTCCAAATATTTGGCTTCAAAAAAGATTCCGGTAGTATAATTGATTGGCTTGAAGTACTGGCCATCGCAACTGTAGGAGCATAGGTTAAATGGAGAGATGGTCTGATATTCTGATCTGTTAAACCTCATTTTCTTTGCGAGCTTCACATGGTTTTGTAGAAGGCAGAGGTTTTGATCTTAAGTTGGTTTTCGTATTTTCTGTGTAGAAGTTCAACGCAGTACCATTGTTTGGCTATGCTAAATCAGTTCTATCAGTCACATATGAAGATAAAAATTCTTTCTCATCAAATATATCAGAATTTAACCCTTTAATGCGCGAATATTGTAATCGTATAAAAATAGATTATTCTAATCATATTAGGATCTATAGAGCAAAGGAAAAGTGGTCAAAAATATATATACAAAAAAAAAATCAAATAAATACAAATTCAAAGTTCTTTTTATTCACGGTCAAATTTATAAAAACAATTATTGTCTCTGTTGTAACATAAGCTTACTCTACATTTTTCACAATAAGTGAATGTATATCCCTTACAATTAGGGTATTTACATCTGGCCCGATCCCCCCATTTTTGCCAGTGATATATTGTGTCTTGTCGGACATCTTTCGGAGGCATAGTTTGAGCTGGTCCACGCTTCTTTTTTAGTTGAAATTCAGTTTGTAAAGATGAAGTGCTTGGGCGTCCCCTTTTGGTACCATTTCCTTTTTGGCCAAGATTGCATAAGGTATGGGCAAGCTCAAGTCTGTAATTGCACAGTTTCAATGGCTTTATGGAAGATTTCTTGTAAGGGGTGTTTTTTCTAGAGGTATAGAACTTTGAAATAAAATTAAACAAAAATGATTTTTTTGTTATTGATATAAAATATAATATTTTGGAAAGATAATATTTTGTCATTATAATTTAAATAAAATTTCAGGCATATGATCTCCACAACTGGCTCGGACGTAGTTTAATCTGGAGGTCCAATTTTCAACGACTTTTTACAACATTCGTGGCTGTATAAAGGCAATAACCTACAGCCACGGGCAAAAGTATTAGACATTTTTCTGCACTTGTTTTCTCTTCAAAGTTTGGTTCCAACGCTGCACATAGTTCCTCCCAAGCAATTCGTTTTATTATTCTATTAGAATATTCCTTGGTCCTACTATCCCATATTGCTGGGCGTGATTCTATTTCAATAATAAGACGTTCAACAATATATGACATTGTGAAACGTATGTACTGGGTGGCGCAAAAGTAAAGACCCTATTTGGTTCAGCTATAACATTTTTTCTAAATGAGAAAACTAGATTTAGGTTTTTTTAAATGTATATTTGTGCCATTAAATTTCGTACCATTAGGATTTAAAGATGATGTCTTTTAAATGGTGACCTCCAGAGTTGATACACATTTGAGCCCTATTTATGACATTTTGCATAACTTGCCGTAACACTTCCTGCGATATGTTCGCTATTTCTTGACGAATGTTTTCTTTTAGAGCTGCGAGAGTCTGTGGCTTGTTCACATACACCCGAGATTTCAAAAAACCCCAAAGAAAGAAGTCTGGACTGGTCAAATCGGGTGATCTTGCAGGCCAAGGCAAATCGCCAAAACGAGAGATAAGTACATATGTATGTACTTAAGTATTTTAATACAGAAACATAGTAATTAAATATGTATATATACATATTAAATCAAAATCAAAATTGCACGTAATCAGCACATTATAACACACAAAAGCGTATTTTTTACTGTAAGTAATCTGTAATTTTTGTCTGTTTTTGTTTTGTCATTTTATTGTAAAAACAGTCTCTAATACTATTGTGTATAGAAGACATACCTATGGTCAAAATATCATTTTCAATATTGCTGTGAACAAATCGTAATAATAATTCTGCAGCTTTTAATGGTGCTTCCTCGACTTCCTCATCCCCATCACTTTCGAGTTGTTAATAGCACTAATGTTCTGTACGATATTTTCATCGGTATGTTCTTCGAATGTGAGGAGAGCGCTATCGATGTCAACATATTCTTCCCACATTTCCGGTGCTGCTAAAGAATCTGAATTTAGGTTTCGTGACCACAACGATAAAGGAATGTCATCTTCTTCATCGAATTCATGTTCTGATATTTGAATAGGTAAACTTTAAACTTTTTCCAAATGTCCACCGCCTTGTTAAATGCACTTTAATGACCGTTTTCGCAATTGTGGTTTTATTTTAGATAATACTGCAGTGTCATTTTTCGCTTTTATAAAGGCGGTTATTATCTTATTTTTTAGTTCCTCGACACTAGTTGTCTCTGTGTTATAAACTAGCGATTTAATTCTCCCCCACAAAAAAAGTCGGGTGGCGTCAAATCAGCTGATCTAGGAGGTCACTGGACAGGCCCTCCGCGACTCATCCAGCGTTCCGTACTCGTTTTGAAGACGCTGGCGAACACTGCAGGTGAAATGCGCGGGGGCACCATCGTGTTGGTTGACTCTCCTGTTTTTTTTTTTTGATCTACAGCTCCCTCTGACTTGGTCAGAGACCTTGTTTACATTTGTGTTTTAACCTTCCATACCAGTTCTCGCTCACACGATGGCCTTTCATTCTTCATACTGGTTCTTTCTTTCATCCATCCCTTTCATACCTCTGACCAGTGTGCCTACTATCTATCTATATATCTTAGTCTACTTTGTTGTAGGTGGGTGGGGGAGTTGTCACAATCATATTCTTTATTTCCAACAGCAGACATATACATTTCAATTAACAATACTTCCAGTAATAGTTTAAAATTATATAAAATATAAATTTAAAAAACATGATATAACATAATATAAATAACTAAAATTGTATACAATAAAACTTAGACTGTTGGAATACATTAATATTTAAATAATTACAATAAAACCTTAAAACTAATATAATTAATAATTAGTTAAAACCTTAAGTATGGAGCAATAAATAGTTAAAATTCCAATAAATATTTAAAATTTCAATATTACAATAAATAAAAAGTTAAAATGTTAAAAAAAACGGTGCAATCACCCCCTTGTTTTGTTCCTAAGATTTGCTATTTTAACCAGTTTCATACAAAACCGTACTAGGTGCGGCCTGGAGTGGTCATCTGCGATGAGTTTCGCAATATTTGGTCGTTAACTAAAATTCCAGGTCGCACCTATCGCGGTCATGCACAGGACACTCAAACAGGAGGTGTTGCACCGTTTCGGCCACCTCAGGATCGCACACACACGATGGACTGTTTTTAAGTTTTAATCTAAAAAGATACGCCGCGAATCCTCCATGCTCATTCAGCACTTGCGCCCACCCTGATGTCTTGTCGAGGTTGACTCTCCTGTTAGATGTTGTAAAAATACGGGTTCCAATATGTTTGTACCGATCATACCCGCCCAGACATTGATTGAAAATCGATGCTGGAAGGAGTCTACTCTGCAAGCGTGTGGATTTTCATGTTATGTTGATTGTACATTCCCACACGTGTGGGATTTGTTAATAATATAACTTTGAAATAAAATAAAACAAATTGATTTTTTTTTATTGATATAAAATATAATATTTTGGAAAGATAATATTGTCATTATAATATATCAAAAGTTAAATTATTTATGAAATTTGAGGGTTCAACTACAGCATCTGTTAAGTAATTAAGTAAAGCACGATCATCTCTAGAACCTGCACCTCGGGCTCCGGCTTTCAAAAGTGGATCACTCAAATAAAAAATATGACGTCACAAATTAAATGGTCACTTAATTCACAAAGCTTTTCTAGTGCTGGTTTTTTTGTAGTAAGTCTATCACCTGTTCATCCCAGCGTTTGTTTGTTGTAACTAGGTCGTGTAGTTTCGCAGCGAGTCCGCGGTTGGCAGGAAAATATTCTGTCAGCATGTTCTTTCACTCACTTTTTTCTTTTATCATTTCACTGTCCACCTTGCAATGCTTCCCGTGTTTGCCTCGTTGGTCTTCAGGAATAACACCGTCATTGAGTTTTTTAGCATCAATGACAGTTCGTACAGTTCGTGGTGAAATACCCAAGATGTTGTTTAAAAATGTTTTACAAATCCGAACTGACTGACCATCATTAAGTAAATAAAATGCTGAGTTACGTTGTTTCTGGTACCGATGATTCGTTGTAATACGCCGACTTGCAATTTCGAGTGGTCTGATGCAAGAATTCAAAAAATCACGCTGTCTCTCTATGCTACCTAGCTCCAAATATGAATTGAAAATTTTAATTCTTTTTTCTTGTGTAAATTTATATGAGCAAAGCAACCGACACTTATCTGAACAAGAGGCACCAATTTTTCTAGCCTGAACTGTTTTGCCAGTTTTTATTGATCGATATTCGCTACCGGAATTCCTTCATTTTTTTTGCTATATTCTTTTTCTAGTTATTAGGATTACGAGTATCTTTTCTTCCACTTTTTTTAAGTGATGTGGTTGAGGCTTGGTCATCAACAGCCTCATTCTCAGGACTACTATCACTAGATGAACTATTTGAACTGGAGGAATTTCAATAATGATGTCCTTTTTAATGACAACTTTCAAATCAACACTTTTTGTTGCACTCTGGCAAAAAGTAAACAAAATCAGCTGTTTGTATTTGCTCTTAAGGCCTTGTAACATAAATACCAAGGCATGGTCTGCTAATTTATTGATTTTATGTGAACCAAAATGTTCAAATCCAATGATTTCGTCCATTTTTTTTGATAAATAAGCCCGGTGATAATGCCACCTCATCAAATATTAAAGTACACAGTTTTTTTCATTACTTAACTTACTGACTGCTTTTTTAATATGTTCAATAATGATGTCATTTACACCTGGGGTAAGGGATATATGTACAGCTTAAAACTTTCTGCATGGTACTTTTAGATGCAAACAAAATAGTTTTTGTAATAAATTATAAGCCTTTTAACTTTGTTTATTTATAGTCAAGCACAGTATCTTCTCCTGTGTACTAAATCTTCTAGGTATAGAGTTGGTACAGCATTTTGAGTGAGTCGTTTACTTGAAGAACGGTAAAACTGTTCAAAATGACTATCACATATTCTTATAAAGGGTGTTTTTTTAAGCCCGATAGAACTTGAAATTGTAAAAAATAACAAAAAATTAAATTGTTATCATTTTTTTTTTATTCGAAAGATCAATACGTGACATTAACATTTGAAAATGATTTCGCCTTATCTCGCCTCGCCTGTTTACATTAATGGGCTGCTTGCAGAGCTGGGTAATAGCGGTATCGGTTGTCACGTGGGGGGCGTCTGCGTAAATAACATCAGTTACGCTGACGTAGTACTAGTAGGTTCGCTATACACTTCGCACTGTGGGGAACGTGTGGAATCCTTTGTACTAACTAGAGCCGATTTTCGAGTTTCGGCATCATATAAGATACTTGTTTTTATAGTTCGAGCTGGAATAATTGGTCTTAACAAATTTCGGCTGTTTGTTTATACATGCTTGATATTTCCAAATATGTTTTACATCTTGGCCAAAGGATTGTTAACTCTTTTTTTCCAAGTAATTAGCATACAGTAGGTCATATATCTAAGGACATTGAGAGCATTTGAGATATTTGTTGTTTTCGATTTTCTTCAAACAACCAGCACATTTTAGTCTTTCAGTTGACATATCTAATTATTAAATGAAATCGCTTGTGTAGTGATATTTAAAATAAAGAAAAAGTTGCGGCCGGACCGGGGATCGAACTCTAAACCTTGGGTGCGAGGAACAAGTTTCACACCACTGGACCAGCCGATTGATAGTGGAATCGGTGAATTTCTGCTTCAGTTGTTTGTACTCGCTAAGTATGATTAATATTATATTTGTAAAAGTGGGTGGTGTTGAAAAATGAATTCTGTAGACTCTTTACTTTGTTTTACCAGTTGTTGAATAATAAGTATTAAAGTTTTGATCACTTTTAGGTCTTTTTACACTAAGTTTTGTCACTGTGTTGTGGTTGTGACGATATATTGCGAACAATTCTGTCGTTTTTGGTCCGAATTTCAGTGACTTGAGAAGCAGCCACATACAGCGTCGGTACTGTTGATCTCATTGCCAGAGTTAGGGTTCTGGACTTTTGTAGCATCTTCTTGAGTCTCTTCATCGTCACTCGACATCTCAACGCTATCTAAAGTTTTTTTTTGCGACAAAAAACGAAGCCAAAAAGGACATCTCATCCTCATATTTTCATTTTTTAATTTTCTTCGCCGCCTATCCACTTGTCCCTTTTTCTTATTCATTGCTCTTCTATATGCATCTCTTAGACTATTGCCATCTATGTTTACAGCTGCGGCTGTAAAAAAACGTAATATACATTTTAAGAAACAATACTAATATACGTTATCACGCATTCGAAATACACTAACCAAGAAATAACTTCGCGTTTGTAAAATTAGCAGAGGCTCTGACTTCATGTTTTTATTTAACATTTTATTTTAATATTTTTTTTTGCTATAATGAAATTCGAGTTCCATTATGTGTGTTTACTGTTTAAGTCGCCCGCTAGTATTACTGATTCAGCGAGTCATAATAAGGAATTCACGTCACTCTCTAAGATGGTGTTCTTAGGTGAAATATACACTGACTCTGAGACAATAGCCTCATGTATTGTCATGTCTAAGAGCTGGTAGCTTGTATGTATGTAATGTAGCTTGACTCCACATAGATCTGTAAGCTCTTTAAAGACATAAGATGTAAACTGGCGTCCTAGATCAGTGGTGAGAAAATCCACATTTCTTTGAATGTTCTTGCTACCGAGTTAGCTGATATGTCCTGCAACGGCTGGACTTCCGGTCATCTGGTGTATCTATCTATAGCTTTTACACAGTATTTATAATCACGAGATGGTGATAGTGGTCCGACTATATGCACATGGCTAAAACGTGCTTCGGGCAATTTAAAATTTTCTAAAAGCGCAGATGTTTGTCGTTGTACTTTAGATTTTTCTCAGGCTTCCCATGTTTGTACCCAAGCACGGCAATCTTTTCTTAGCTTCCAATCCACTTCTATTTATATTTTCAATGTCACTAGCGAAATATTTCTCTTGAAAATAACTTATATCTAAAGCATCTTTCAATTCAATATTGGTTAAGTAAGCAGGAAAAACAGATTTAAGAGAGGAGAGAGAGAGAGCAGAATTTAAGAGAGGGGGAAAGAGCCATGTAAAGTAGCGTTTTAAGATTTTTTTTTATTTCTCAACATAATCTCCTCCAAGGCTCATACATTTCTCATAGCGGTGTTCTAGTCTAGTAATGCCATCCCTATATACTGATTCGTCAAGCTCCTCAAAATACTCATTTACAGCTTCGATTACTTGTTCATTGTCCGCAAATCTCTTACCGCCAAGCCATTTTTTGTGGTTAGGAAAGAGATAATAGTCGCTCAGGGCTAGTTCTGGAGAGTAGGGAGGGTGCGGCATCAATTCAAACTTCAGTTCGTTGATTTTAGCCATCGCAACGATTGACGTGTACGCTGGTGCGTTATCGTGATGAAACAAGATGTTTTTCTACGCCAGATGAGGTCATTTAATTTTCCTTTCGTGGCTCACACGTTGTAATAAGTGTGTGTGTAGTATTGACCAGTGATAGTTTTATCCTTTTCAAGGTAATCCATGTATATAATACCTCTCGCATCCCAAAAAATAGTAGCCATAACCTTGTTCGCCGAAAAAAATTTTTTTGCCTTCTTTGGAGTTGGTTCCCCTGGTCCAATCCACTGTTTAGACTGTTCCTTGGTTTCAGGAGTGTAGTGGTGCACCCAAGTTACGTCAACGGTTACGAATTGCCGCAAAAATCCGCTTGGAATACGCTTATACAAATAAAAGTATTTAATGACAGCACAAAGTTCCATTTCAAGTTTCCATTTTTACGAAAATCACAGAGGCGTCTTGTTCAGCGTGCTTTTAAACCTAACTGTCAGAGTTTCAGAACAGAGACCACAGTATTTTGTCATTTTCTTTAATGCTACTGCGTATTCCGCTATAGATTCGTTACATCCTTGTACTCGCTGCCCAAATTTGAAACGCTCCGCGAGTACACTCGGTTTCGGTTGCAAATGGCGTCGCATTATACAGCCACGGGCAAAAGTATTAGGCACCCTACAGTAAGACAAGTTTTAGGGTGTTTTAGCATATCGAGTGTAAATAAAACTGCATTTATGATTACAATGGTTTATTTTAAGAAAATAATTAATATTTTGTAGGTCCACCTTTTGACTTAATAACCGCAGCCACTCTTTTTGGCATTGACTCTACCAGCCTGAAACATTCTTCTCTTGATATATTTTTCCATTCCTGCTGTAACGCGGCCAATAGAGCTTGTTTATTGCTAATCGAGTGCCTGCGGATATTTTTCTTTAAAATGGACCAAATATGCTCAATCGGGTTGAGGTCTGGTGATTGTGGTGGCCAGTCCAAAAGATCAATATGATTTTCAGCAAACCACTTCATGGTATGCGCGGACTTGTGGCAAGTGGCGTTGTCTTGCTGAAATTTCAGGCCATCGGTGTTTGTATCACCGAAAATTTGCGTTATCGACGTTGCTAGTGCTGTTTCCAGAACTTAGTGTATTTAACACTATTCATTCGTCCCTCACACAACACCATTTCGCCCACTCCGTCGGCAGCCATGCAGCCCCAGATCATTATTGAGCCTCCACCATGCTTAACAGTGGGAACCACACATTCTGGGTTGTATTCTTCGCCAACCCTTCGCCTAACATAAGTCACACCGGGTGTTCCAAACACCTATGCCAAACGAAAAAAAAACATTTATTTTCTTGCAGTACGTTATTTTAAAAACATTTATGTGTTTTAATATTGTACATAAAATAAATAACAATACCTCAAAGTTAGATTCGTCTGACCACAGTATGTTGGACCAATCTTCCACTGACCAATCTCTATGTTTGAGAGCCCACTCCAACCGATTTTTCTTATTGTGTTCTGACAGCCACGGCTTCTTCCTTGCTTTACATCCTTTTAATCCAGCTTTAAGAAGTCTTCTTCTCACAGTATAAACACTCACTGAGCTGCCTTTTGCCTCAGATAATGCTGCAGCGAGCTCTAAAGCAGTTTTTTTTCCTGTTTTGTAGAGACTGCCTAATCAACAATCGATCTTCCCGTTCAGTAGTAACTTTTCTTCTGCCTGTTCTTGGTCTATTTTCATGGGTGCCAGTCTCTTTGAAGCGATTTATAGGATATTGAACTGCACATCGCGAGCACTTCACTTCTCGGGCTATTTTAACCTGAGACATGCCTTGTTCATGTAAAATCTTAATTCTTAGACGCTGTTCAGCACTAAGTTCAGATTTTTTCGGCATGATTAACACGTCAAATGTTAGTCTTTAGAATTGTGATAGGAATAGTTGCGTAGAAGACGTGTATGTTCACTGCAAGCACTGATAACACACTATAACCCGAAACGCAAAAAAAAGCAAATTCGAAGAAACACCGCTTAGGAGCACACCTGGATGTCATAAATATTTCCTTTTATCTTAATTTGGTTAAAAATTGCCGCTAATACAATAGCTAAACCATAAAACACACACTTGACCGCAATATAATGAGATAGTGACTAACAATAGGGGTGCCTAATACTTTTGCACGCAGCTGTATATCTACGTTTCCCAAAGTGAACAATAACGCCCTCTTGTGGGGACTGCAGACTTAAATACGCAGTAATAGACTCAAAAAAAAATGCGGCACCTTTTAAAGACCGGTGATGATTTGTAATAACATATATCCAGTATAAGTCAAATTGATGTTTCAGTAGCTCAAAGTAAACCTGGTAATACTTGATGGACACTAGAAGTTCGGGAGCCACTGTCCACTAGTATAATTGCGGCTTTACAATCACCGAGTCATTCTCCTCTTCATATAATTCTATGTTTCGTCAATACCTGGTACATTGTTAGTTTTCATCTAACACTGATGATCAGCCATCATCTCCTGATGGATGAATCACAAGTACAGTCTAATAACACCATCTGTAATACATAATACAATATTGTTCTTATATAAAGACATACTTCAAGTATTGTTCGATAAAAGTATTCGTAAGAAAATCAGAAAGCTATAACGTATAATATATAATAGTCAAATAGTTCAGTGGGTCTCTTATAGGCTGCAAGTCCTAAGTCATCTTTTAAAATACGCTACATGGTTCTAGGTGCTAACTTCATCTCCCGAGATAAAATCTTTTGTAAGCAGCTACCATTACAGAAGTCGAGGCCTTTGTGTGGTTCATTACCCTCTCAGGATACTTTGTTCCTCGTTTTGTTAATATTTTCTTGCGACCTGGGTCGTCCGTTAAATTGGTTTTATCATAATTGACAATATTCCAAGATTCAATATTTGTTATCGAACTTTCTGGCTCTCGAAAATAGGCTCTTATTGTGTCCGGTGAGATTGCTGCCCTGTTTGTTTTAATATTCTGGCAATTACGTTGAGATATTTTGTCTTTATGCCTTTTAAGAAAACTAAAAACAAAATCAGATCCCGGCAGATTATTTTGAAATTTTAATATATGTTTATAAACACGAGGCATTTTGTACCTACAAAAAAAAAGAAAACTTAAGAAAGTTATTATTTTTTTATCTACAGTAAGCTGGGCGGTAGCCCTAATAAGACCTGTATACGTATCTATTAACCTCAAATATAGCTAAACTCTTCATGCTGTAAAACTTTTATCCGTAGTAAGTGGGATGGAAATAATAGGCTTTGGGAATAAAAGATTATTTTTATTTCTTACTTTCAACTTGTATACCTTACTCAACGCTTACACCTTTTTTAACAGAATTCGCCATTACAGTTTTGCCGCCATATATATTTTGCAACAACCAATCAGACGCTCTAAAGACTTACGTTCCTTTACATGCACAAAATTTTAAATATTATTTAATATAAAATTTAAATTCTACGTATATAAAATATTTTACAGTAATACACTAGAGATTACTTTATATAACATTTATCACACAATATTTGGTACTTCCTAAAGAAAATCGACAACTTTTAACGCACACAAATTGTCACTACAGAACGGTTGGTGTTTATTTATTTATTTATTAAGATCCTCCAGGAGTAAATACATCAACACAATATTAGTAACAATAACAACATATAGCTTAAAACTAAATGCATTACCTTTAAAGGAGAATACCTCATGCAGTGATAGTGGATATAAAAGGAGCTTACACAATAAAAATATGTATGTACATTTACAAATTTAAACATATGCTAATTGAAAAGTTACAAAATATATATATATATATATATATATATACTTAATTAAAAAAATTGCAAAAAAAGAGTTAACCCTTTGTAGCCCAAGATCATACTATTTTAAATTACTTTGGGATAAGACAGGTTTAAACAAATAAAAAAACACGTATTTCTCAAAATTTAAAAAATATTTATTATTTTTTATTTATTTGACATTTTAGGGAATGTAACATTACTGTAACATTGGGTTAAACTAACAGAAAATGTAATTATGTGGTATGAAAGGATCTGAAACAATTATTTTGTTTATTGTAACATAACGCTACTCCGCATTTTTCGCAAATCGTTTGTGATACACCAGTACATTTGGGAAATTTGCACCGAACCCTTTTTTCTACCCAAATCGGCCAGTGGCCAATTTGATCCTGCCTTACTGCCAGTGGGGGGACATGTTGCGCTGGCCCTTTATGTTTTTTGGCTTGGATTTCATTTTCGATCGTCCTTCGGTGCTTGATATTAGGTTTCAAACCCATCTTGCATAAAGTCTCACCGATCTCAAGGCGAAAATCTGCTGAAGACATTTGTTTGTCACTGCAATTTTTTGCCTGCCTTACTCTTCGATATAATAGCCAAGAATTGGCCATAGTCAGATCTAATAAATGATAGAACATCCGAACCTGCCATCTTTTACTTCGTGTCAAAATTTTATACCTTCCCATAATGCTGTCAATCAAATCTACGCCTCCCATATGCCGATTATATTCACCGACAACATGAGGGCGATCAATGTTGATATACTTCTTATTGGCCTTATCGTATCGTCTAACTTGGGCCTTTGGCAATTCACCAGCAAAAGATGATACAAGCGTTACAACTTTATTGTCTTTCCATATAACGTTTGACACATCAATTCCGTCCATATTCGCTACATATTCAACTGAAAATCCGCGTTCTTTTTTCATTACTTCCTTGTCAGCGGGTAGTTTACAATCTGGAATACGATTGCGTCGTACTGTCCCAAGACTCAATATACCCTCTTTAGCTAAGTACTCCAGTAATGCCAAGGAAGTAAAGTAATTATCAAAATAAAGTTGATAATTCTGATGCCTTGGTATGCCCCGCGCCATTCTGACGACTACGTTTGAAGATGCTCCTAAATCTGGTTCATCAGGAAGCACAACATTTTCAGCTCCTGTTTCAGGTTCAATTTTATAGGCAAAACCTGAGACCCCACTTAGTACAAAAATCTTATAACCCCATTTGTGTGGTTTTTTGGGATTGTATCTTTTCAAATTACATCTTGCCTTAGTGGAGCAAATCTGTTCGTCCACACAAAGGTATGTCTCCAATGGAACTGTACTAAAAGTCCTATTCAAAGTTTCTACGATAGGTCTAATTTTGAAAAGCCTGTCACCATTAGCTGAATTACGTGGGGGTAAATTAGAATTGTCATTGAAATGGATATACTGTCTAATTTTTTCAAATTTTTGCTTCGGCATTATTTCTTGAATCATGGGTGTACCAATAGTTGTGTTCCAATGACTGGTTACTCTTGGCAATTGTATCAATGACATCAGATAAGTTGCTCCAATAAATTGCTGGATATCGGTATCGGTAATTTGAAAGGATTGGTTAGGATTTTTTTGTATTATGTAGAGATTTGTTTGTGCTGTAATAAAAGTTATCAATTCTTTGGGAAAAAAATATAAAAAGAATTGAATTGGTGTATCAAGCTCAAGTAAATTAGGTGGTAAAGTAGTATTTCCTGTAAATCGCAACTGCTGGTCGTTTAGAACTAGGTTTTTCTTTTTCCATTGTAATTGTCGCTTTTTTTCCTTTTTTATTAGTGGTAGCTTTATTTGAATGGCTCTCTTGCTGTCCAGGATCTGAAGACGAGGCGCCAGCAACAGGCTCACTGCGTTCAGATTCTTCGATAATTGAATCTATATCAACTGCAGTATCTTCTTCACAATCAGAAAATATTTCTAAATCTTCTAATAACGGCTGAAAATCTGGATCAATGACGCTGTCATCATCGTCTTCTAATCCGTCTTCACTATCATATTGGTGCAATAGGTCATCTATTTCACGATCCCTCAGTGTGTGTGACCCCATTCTAAAATAATGGCATAATTTTATATCAATATCCAAATACTTTAGTTTCAATGTAACAGAAATACTTTAGTTTCAATGTAACAGAAATGTTACAAACATATATTGATACGTTTTTTACATAAAAAAGCAAAAATATGCTTTGATAACGATATATGAACAAAATCATTCACTTACCTATAGGTTTCGACGAAAACAATACAATTTTATACACTTTTAGTATATTTTTATAAAATTCAAACTCTCAACGAGTTTCAACCTGTCACTTCCATCGACGGACGTAATTCAAACTCCCTATAATAAACAAGTTACGCCATCTATGATTTGTACTTGATACTAAAATGTTTGGTTTGGTATGGTACAATACAGTAACACTGATTTGAATGAACATAAAATATTTAGTATATATTTTAGCGGGATTATTGAGGTTTGTTACAGAAATGTCACACGAGGCTACAAAGGGTTAAAAGGCGGTGGACTGTATAAAATGTTGTATTGTTCCATATAAGACAGGTACGCGTGTGCGCGTCGAGCGATGTCGCAGCTCACTAATGGACGGGCGTTGGCCGCCGCGGTGCCACCTCTCTCGCTCGGGCAGTGATTGCTCCGTCCCTCTCTGGATGACTCAACAAATAGGTAAACTTTAAACTTTTTCAAAATGTCCACCGCCTTGTTAAATGCACTTTAATGACCGTTTTCGCAATTGTGGTTTTATTTTAGATAATACTGCAGTGTCATTTTTCGCTTTTACAAAGGCGGTTATTATCTTATTTTTTAGTTCCTCGACACTAGTTGTCTGTGTTATAAACTAGCGATTTAATTCTCCCCCACAAAAAAAAGTCGGGTGGCGTCAAATCAGCTGATCTAGGAGGCCACTGGACAGGCCCTCCGCGACCGATCCAGCGTTCCGTACTCGTTTTGAAGATGCTGGCGAACACTGCAGGTGAAATGCGCGGGGGCACCATCGTGTTGGTTGACTCTCCTGTTTTTTTTTTTGAACTACAGCTCCCTCTGACTTGGTCAGAGACCTTGTTTACATTTGTGTTTTAACCTTCCATTCCAGTTCTCGCTCACACGATGGCCTTTCATTCTTCATACTGGTTCTTTCTTTCATCCATCCCTTTCATACCTCTGACCAGTGTGCCTACTATCTATCTATATATCTTGTCTATTTTGTTGTAGGTGGTTGGGGGAGTTGTCACAATCATATTCTTTATTTCCGACATATACATTTCAATTAACAATACTTCCAGTAATAGTTTAAAATTATATAAAATTTAAATTTAAAAAACATGATATAACATAATATAAATAACTAAAATTGTATACAATAAAACTTAGACTGTTGGAATACATTAATATTTAAATAATTACAATAAAACCTTAAAACTAATATAATTAATAATTAGTTAAAACCTTAAGTACGGAGCAATAAATAGTTGAAATTCCAATAAATATTTAGAATTTCAATATTATAATAAATAAAAAGTTAAAATGTTAAAAAAAACGATGCAATCACCCCCTTGTTTTGTTCCTAAGATTTGCTATTTTAACAAGTTTCATACAAAACCGTTCTAGGTGCGGCCTGGAGTGACACCCGCCCAGACATTGATTGAAAATCGATGCTGGAAGGAGTCTACTCTGCAAGCGTGTGGATTTTCATGCATCCATAAATGCGTGTTATGTTGATTGTACATTCCCACATGTGTGGGACTTGTTAATTATATAACTTTGTAATAAAATAAAACAAACTGATTTTTTTTTTAATTGATATAAAATATTATATTTTGGAAAGATAATATTGTCATTATAATTTATCAAAAGTTAAATTATTTATGAAATTTGAGGGTTCAACTACAGCATCTGTTAAGTAATTAAGTAAAGCACGAGCATTTCTAGAACCTGCACCTCGGGCTCCGGCTTTCAAAAGTGGATCCCTCAAAGTAAAAATTATGACGTCACAAATTAAATGGTCACTTAATTCACAAAGCTTTTCTAGTCCTGGTTTTTTTGTAATAAGTCTATCACCTGTTCATCCCAGCGTTTGTTTGTTGAAATTAGGTCGTGTAGTTTCGCAGCGAGTCCACGGTTGGCAGGAAAATATTCTGTCAGCATGTTCTTTCACTCACTTTTTTCTTTTATCATTTCATTGTCCACCTTGCAATGCTTCCCCTGTTTGCCTCGTTGGTCTTCAGGAATAACACCGTCATTGAGTTTTTTAGCATCAATGACAGTTCGTATAGTTCGTGGTGAAATACCCAAGATGTTGTTTAAAAATGTTTTACAAATCCGAAGTGACTGACCATCATTAAGTAAATAAAATGCTGAGTTACGTTGTTTCTGGTACCGATGATTCGTTGTAATACGCCGACTTGCAATTTCGAGTGGTCTGATGCAAGAATTCAAAAAATCACGCTGTCTCTCTATGCTACCTAGCTCCCAATATGAATTGAAAATTTTAATTCTTTTTTCTTGGGTAAATTTATATGAGCAAAGCAACCGACACTTATCTGAACAAGAGGCACCAATTTTTCTAGCCTGAACTGTTTTGCCAGTTTTTATTGATCGATATTCGCTACCGGAATTCCTTCATTTTTTTTGCTATATTCTTTTTCTAGTTATTAGGATTACGAGTATCTTTTCCTCCCCTTTTTTTAAGTGATGTGGTTGAGGCTTGGTCATCAACAGCCTCATTCTCAGGACTACTATCACTAGATGAACTATTTGAACTGGAGGAATTTCAATAATGATGTCCTTTTTAATGACAACTTTCAAATCAACACTTTTTGTTGCACTCTGGCAAAAAGTAAACAAAATCAGCTGTTTGTATTTGCTCTTAAGGCCTTGTAACATAAATACCAAGGCATGGTCTGCTAATTTATTGATTTTATGTGAACCAAAATGTTCAAATCCAATGATTTCGTCCATTTTTTTTTTGATAAATAAGCCCGGTGATAATGCCACCTCATCAAATATATATGATAGTACGACACGGACTTGAGTAGGCAGTTGATTCAACCATTCGATTCTAAGTCCTTCATCTGTTACCATGCCGCTACTCAATTCTCGCATTTTTCTTAAGAGTTGCGAAGGTTTCTGGTCTCCGAGTTCCAGACCACTGATGACGATGATGATGATTGACGTCGGATTTTTCGTAGGCGGCAAGTAGTCGTGTCTTCACTGCTTGGTATTTATCAACGGCGGGTGGCTGATATAACTTTTACACAGTACACAGTTTTTTTCATTACTTAACTTACTGACTGCTTTTTTAATATGTTCAATAATGATGTCATTTACACCTGGGGTAAGGGATATATGTACAGCTTAAAACTTTCTGCATGGTACTTTTAGATGCAAACAAAATAGTTTTTGTAATAAATTATAAGCCTTTTAAGTTTGTTTATTTATAGTCAAGCACAGTATCTTCTCCTGTGTACTAAATCTTCTAGGTATAGAGTTGGTACAGCATTTTGAGTGAGTCGTTTACTTGAAGAACGGTAAAACTGTTCAAAATGACTATCACATATTCTTATAAAGGGTGTTTTTTTAAGCCCGATAGAACTTGAAATTGTAAAAAATAACAAAAAATTAAATTGTTATCAAATTTTTTTTTATTCGAGAGATCAATACGTGACATTAACATTTGAAAATGATTTCGCCTTACCTCGCCTCGCCTCTTTACATTAATGGGCTGCTTGCAGAGCTGGGTAATAGCGGTATCGGTTGTCACGTGGGGGGCGTCTGCGTAAATAATATCAGTTACGCTGACGTAGTACTAGTAGGTTCGCTATACACTTCGCACTGTGGGGAACGTGTGGAATCCTTTGTACTAACTAGAGCCGATTTTCGAGTTTCGGCATCATATAAGATACTTGTTTTTATAGTTCGAGCTGGAATAATTGGTCTTAACAAATTTCGGCTGTTTGTTTATACATGCTTGATATTTCCAAATATGTTTTACATCTTGGCCAAAGGATTGTTAACTCTTTTTTTCCAAGTAATTAGCATACAGTAGGTCATATATTTAAGGACATTGAGAGCATTTGAGATATTTGTTATTTTCGATTTTCTTCAAACAACCAGCACTTTTTAGTCTTTCAGTTGACATATCTAATTATTAAATGAAATCGTTTGTGTAGTGATATTTAAAATAAAGAAAAAGTTGCGGCCGGACCGGGGATCGAACTCTAAACCTTGGGTGCGAGGAACAAGTTTCACACCACTGGACCAGCCGATTGATAGTGGAATCGGTGAATTTCTGCTTCAGTTGTTTGTACTCGCTAAGTATGATTAATATTATATTTGTAAAAGCGGGTGGTGTTGAAAAATGAATTCTGTAGACTCTTTACTTTGTTTTACCAGTTGTTGAATAATAAGTATTGAAGTTTTGATCACTTTTAGGTCTTTTTACACTAAGTTTTGTCACTGTGTTGTGGTTGTAACGATATATTGCGAACAATTCTGTCGTTTTTGGTCCGAATTTCAGTGACTTGAGAAGCAGCCACATACAGCGTCGGTACTGTTGATCTCATTGCCGGAGTAGGACTTTTGTAGCATCTTCTTGAGTCTCTTCATCGTCACTCGACATCTCAACGCTATCTAAAGTTTTTTTTTCCGACAAGAAACGAAGCCAAAAAGGACATCTCATCCTCATATTTTCTTCGCCGCCTATCCACTTGTCCCTTTTTCTTATTCATTGCTCTTCTATATGCATCTCTTAGACTATTGCCATCTATGTTTACAGCTGCGGCTGTAAAAAAACGTAATATACATTTTAAGAAACAATACTAATATACGTTATCACGCATTCGAAATACACTAACCAAGAAATAACTTCGCGTTTGTAAAATTAGCAGAGGCTCTGACTTCATGTTTTTATTTAACATTTTATTTTAATATTTTTTTTTGCTTTAATGAAATTCGAGTTCCATTATGTGTGTTTACTGTTTAAGTCGCCCGCTAGTATTACTGATTGAGCGAGTCATAATAAGGAATTCACGTCA